TCATGAAACCCTGCGCGAGATCCAAAGACGCCTACGAGCACACCAACGATGGATGGATCACTGGTGGAAAGTCAGCCTCGACCAGGACATGCGCGACGCGTGGGCCACTCGCGACCTCTCTCGAGTTGCATATCTCACGTACATCCGAGCGGGACGACGAACAGGACCACGACGACGATCATACCTTTCACTGCCATCCACGCGTCCCGCTGCAGCCGAGCACGCCGACGCCCTTGCCCAGCCAGCTGTCCAGGGGGGACTTTCTGCCACGCCCGCCTACGTCAGCATGTATATCGACGACCCGACAGCTATTCCACGACTACTGGCCCAACCGAACGACGTTCAACCAGTGGGGGAGCACATCGGCGCCCCTGAGCTCCACGACATTGAGACGGCAGCGGAGGAGCTCGACCATCTGCAGAAACGACTGTGGAGGAAGAAACGGAGGCGCTACAACCCACTATGGGCATGGCCCATCGAACTCACCATCGTGCTCCTCGCCCCACAATATCTGACGCGCCCTGGCGTTCAACGGGCAGGGATGGGACGCGACGCCGCCGACTATCAATACGCGGACCCGCTCGCGGAGCAGGTCCGCCAACCTAGTCGAAGGAAGCTCGTGGTCGACTACGACGTCAGCTCCACCATCATCCAGACTTTCGTCACATCACTCGCTCATGTCCACCGGTGTGGTTCTCTGCCTGCCCAGGCGTTCACCAGCCAGGCGGTCGCCATTGAAAAAACAAGGAAAAAGCCCGACTGGCAACGTGATTCAGGACATCCATGCATGCGTACGTTTACTTCACTGTTTCGACCGTTTTTGGCGATTATATCTCAGAGTAGGACTCATACAGTATGGAACCCAATTCGACCCACCGCCGTGGGCCTACGGAGGCATTCATTCTCGCCGACGCGAATCACTCATGCTCATTGCTAAACTGTTGATATGGAAGATGAGATCCGCCAGAATGTCTTTTCTCGCTAAGTCGTACGACATGCGGAATTCATTCGCGACAGGCTCCCACGAGCGACTGGTTGCCGCCCACACACTCCGATGCGAAGATGGGAATTTTCATCCCCTCCTTGAGCAGCACCGACACGAGGCAGTAGTATTTCTGCAGGCGTCCGACGCTAGCATAGCTCTTCGACCAGGGACGGGAGGGGGGATGGGCGACTCAAACGAGCCTGAACTTTTGTATGGAATCATTTTATCCACTAGTGAAGCAGTGGCCCCAGGAGATGGCACAGGTCCAGGAAAACCCGTTCCAGGTACACTGCCCGTTTACTGGTGAAGAGTTTGATGCGCATCTTGGAGTTTTCACTGACGATATAGTCAAGATCCTCTCGGTGCCAGACGGCGCGGCCCTCCAGGCGCTGCAGATTGATAAGATCGACAACGACGCGCTCTCCCAGGCCCTCGAAGCTGGCGGCTACGCACAGAACATCAGTAAGCAGGACACCCTGGTCTCACTGGGCACCCATGGGGCTACGAAGGAGGCCGAACGGAATATTTCTGGGAACGCAGTCCAGGACTGGATTCATCTCGGAGGATATGTACACGTTGCCAACAGTAATCGTCGTGAAGTCGAGGCCCGCATACAATCAGGTAAAATCGGGTGGAGCCGTCTGGGCGACTACTGGTACTCTGGAGGCCCTTGGAAGGCCAAACGGCTCGCGTTCGTGTCTCACGTCGCGGGGGGGGGGGGTGTGGTCTGGCCTCGAAAGCTACGCGTTGTCCCCTAGAGAGCTCCACAGACTCGACAGTTCGTTGGCTCGCAAACTACGATCAATGATGAGAGGAGCAGCACATCAGGAGGATGAGCACAACAATCATCGGTCTATGTCTACCCGCCAAGTGCTTATTGAATGGCCAGTTGCACCGACTGCCATCGAGCTACTCGTGCGCAGGCTCAGCTGGTGGCAGAGCGTAATCCGATCGCACACGCACGCATCATGGCCACTTTCTCGCTTCTCTTTTTTTTTGGAAGATGCAAGTTCGAGCAGCAGGCGGCCATCAGCAAACGCCCCGTCAGCGCTGGAACCCTCAATTCGCAGGGTGAGATCTCCGCAGGCCCGAACGTGCACCCGTGGGCCACACAGCTCGCGGACGATCTGCTGTGCCTGTCGTCCCACACGATCGGCGAAAGCTTTCAGGAAGCGTGGCAGCCTCGAGTTGTAAAAAACCTGTGGGATGACGAGTGGGTTCGAGAGGCCTTTTTAAACTGTGACGTTCGGGCTCTCAGGGCTTCGTACTGGGCGACTCAGTGGGCTCCCCCCGAGGCCAGCGTGATCACCTCCTCTCTCCCCATCGGCGGCAACATACGACGAGACGGACACTGACGACGAGACGAACCGCCCCTTCGTGTGCAACATCGAGTCATGCCAGAAACGGTTCGGGACGCTCAAACAGCTCGTCACACACCAAACTAAAGCTAAGAGCCTAGGACACGGTATGCCAGCGGTATTGACTACCTTACAGATCGACAACAAATGTATTGTGTGCCAAACTACGTATCCAAATCAAGATCATGCACTTAGACACCGACGACGAGCATGGCAAGCAGGCAGATGCATTCCAGAACTTACTCATCATGTATATCCCTGGATAGCAGCCGCATGTACTACATGCCCTCTACGGGACTACGCTCTGGATCACGCATGCCAACAGGAATATCATGATCAGCTAAAACTTCGAGCTCACGTCCTGGGACATGTCCCACCGTCGCCATCGGGTTCCATGTTCAAGCCTGTCGTCAGAAGGCTCACCGCGCGCTCGGCCACTCCGAGTGCTCCCCCGCCGTGCCCCGCGCCATCCAGCTGCCGCCCATCGCCTGCCATAGAGGACACCCCTGCGGTACGCGCTGCCATTCGTCAGCCGGTGGAACGCATCGTGGGCAGCGACCCTCGCAGCAGACCCAGACGCCGACCACTTCGACGGCTACGAGAGGCGCAGCGCCCAGCAGCAGCAGATGCAACATCTACGCGGCCAATGCGAGTGGCTACTGTCTCCTCTACGCCTACTCTTCCTGCACTTCCTCATGGGCCAGGCGATGACGCCCAAGCCGAGAGCGCCGTGGCGACTCCCGCTGGACTCCTCCCTGGGCTCGAAGGGCTCTGGCGCCGCCTCCAGCGCCGCGCCAGGCCAGAAGGCGACAAAGGCCTCGCGTCCGCCAGGCCCGCCGCCGCCGTCGCAGAGGCGATCCCGATCGCCGCGAACGCCCAACAAGGTGGACGAGGGAGACATCGGCGAGGACAAGAAGCTGCCGCTCCAGACGACGCACGAGACCAGGCTGAAGCACAGCATCAGCACGGACATATACACGATGAGCAACGAGCACCCAGTGATCACAGCCATCACGCAGGAGCTCGAGGGCTACAAGCACACCCTGGACTCCCTCAAAAAGAGCGGCACCCTAGAGGACAAGAAACGCATGCAGGAGGTAGGGCCGCCAGCTCCTGCCCTCGCGCTGGCGGCCTTGGAAGGACTGCACAAGTGCGACGTGGGCGGCACTATGAAGAAAGCCATTCGGAACTACCTGCTCCGAGCGGACCCCGGGGATATCGAGGCGGAGGCGGAGATCAGCAAGGAAGATCTCCTCGACGTCATCTCCATTGTGCGTCTGGAGAAGTGCCACGACGACACCGAGACGAAGCTGGTGATCGGCGCGCCCACGTGGGAGGGCCGAGACCTGATCAACCGCGCTCTCGCGGCCGAGGGCCAGGCGGTCCACCACAGGGGCGTGACCGAGGGACGCGCGGACTGGCTCGAGGAGGAGGTAGACCACGGGGCGAAGACGCCCGAGTAGTGAACCCGCTCCTTTGCCAGAGCACAAACGGAGAGGACACAATCCAGCGCCGTGTTATGTTTGTCCGAGGCGAAGCCCTCCCTGCTAGCAGTAGCACGGTCACGGTCACATACCCTCCCGCCTCCGACGCGCCTCCACCTCTCCCCACTGCCGTGCCTGCACAAGCAGAGGAGCTACGTGAGGTGGAGGCCCCACCTGAGTTCGATACAATCGCCGAGGATGAAGCGGCCGAATACTTTTTCAGCTAGCATCCGAGACGTTGCTTGGCACGCGCAGCGCAGGAATCCCCTCTGCGCAGCACCCTGGCAGCGTGGCCCACGCGGGGCAGTACGAGACAGTTGGCTCTCTGCGACGGATCATTAAGTATGGATTCGCTGTACGCCACATCTTACCATCAGATGTTGGTCCCGACGTCGAGGAAAAAGAAATCAGCATCATCATCATCATCAGCATCAGCATCATCATCATCAACCGCCTTCTCCTCGTCCTTTTCCTCATCCTCCTCCTCCTCCTCCTCTCCTCCTCTTTCTCCTCCTCATCATCACCATCATCATTATCAGCATCGTCTCGTTCGTTCTCCTCGCTCTTGCGGGGGTGAACAGCAGGGGGGCCGACTGTTACCTTTCAAAAAGAGGGACGGTTGAAGTTGCAGGAGTTATAGCAGAACCAATAGCAGCGCAGCTTCAGCGGCGGGTGGGTGGGAGCGGACGGGAACAAGACAATGTAACGAGACATGGGCATTCGTTTGGTTGTCTGTCGCCTGTTGAAACGGATGAACACGACGCCCTCTGGGAGCGATGGTGGGGAATGGATGGCCGGTGGGATCGAACAGACCCGGCCATGTCGAGGACAGCCTGGCGCACTTTTCACGTCTCACATATCGTGTCGCTTATATCGTCTTCCAGCATACGGCTATCACATGACACATCCCCCTTCTTGAAGGAATATCGATTGGGTGCCCTTTTCGTACCTCGTCCTGCAGTCCATGCCAAGTATGCTGGCGCGCGTAGTTGCATGCCCTGGTTTGGGTGCGGCTGCTTGGGGGGCCCTGAGAAAGCGGGGTGACAAGATCTTGCGTATTGCGGCCCGCGGTTTCACATTGATGCAGCGCGAACAATGGTGAAGGCGGCACCTGTTTGTCTTGATGTGAACGCGGGGCCCACGAGATGCACATGTCCTTTGCAATGCCCGCAGGTGACGGAAGAGGAGGAGTGCTGGATATGCCGACAGGACCTGCCAAATACTCCCAAATTTGCCTTCATCGTTGCGGTAACTTCATTAATATCATGTGTCTTCCCACTCGGTATTCTGTAAATGCTAGTTTGTTTCATCAGCGTCATTCGTTTTTCAATTGTTGTCCCACCCCCCTCCACTTCTCGCAAGAAGGGCAACGTTGCTGACGTGTGCAATGACAGAGGGGGAAGACTGGGGCTGGAAATTATACAAGACCACGGCCTGGTGGATCAATTTTCCGGGACCTCTGCAGGCGGTGGATATGGACAGATTCGGGCCCTTGGGGGCCAACATATACCCATATCCACCGCCCGCTCGGGCACCAGGACGTCGGTTCCCAGGCGTTGGATGTGGAGAAATCCCAGCCTCGCAAAGACGAACAGAAACAGCGCATGGTACTATTCGGCCTTACGCACTCTCTGAGCGCATGGTTCCTCAATGCAGCAGAGTTGGGGCTGCTGGGTACTATTCAGATGCGCTGCCGCGCGATTCCGCCACCGCGCTCGGGCGGGCGCGGGAAGGGGTGGGGGGGGGGAGCTGCCACGGAATCCCATTGTTACTGTACTATCGTGTGTTTCCTCCTCCTGTCTGGCTCACCTTCCTGGCTCACCAGGAAGGGTTCGGTAGCAAATCATGGGGGCCTGGTATACCCTTGCATGTCCGTCTCTAGCGTCGGTTAACGCCGCTTAGCGTCTGGATGCGATGAGATAGCGCCGATTTAGCGTCGGCTCGCGTGGATTAGCTTTGATTTAGCGTCGATGAGCATCGATTTAGCGTCGATTAGCATCGATTCGCAAGAGCCGACAAGATGGTATGCGAGGTTCCCATGAGTTGCCACCGAATAATCGTGGTTGTTGGGGCGCAGACTGGCACAGAGGGACAATCATTGACTCGCATCAAGTGACACAGCAGTGGAGCCAAGGGCGGCAGACATGAGCATCACGCGCGATGACAGGATGCCAGCGCCGAGCCGATCATCCAGCCGTGCGCGTGCAGAGGCTCGATGAGCGGGGTCCACACCAGCTGCGTCGAGGCTAGTGCATCGCGGAACCCTGGCGTGAGATTGAAGAGTCCACGTTTGCCGGTTGGTGGTGGAGTGCGCGCGGTGGTTGCAAGCAGTGGTTCACGATTTGTCTCACGAGTGCAGCAGGGTTTCACAATGTTCGTGTCCTGGTTGCGCCCCTCGTCTGCGTTGAACCCCAAACTGGGCAACCCACCCCTCGAATCGTCTCGGGCCCTTGTCCGATGTGCGCGCTCTATTCTAATGGGCCAGCATTTGCAGAATAAAGGTCCGTCTCGCTCAATATCTTTATTGGTGGCATATCTAACGTCGACTGACCAAATACCAATGTGGATGCAGTTGCCCGGCCTTCCGGCCTTCCCCCTCTCTCCCCCCGTTTCATTCCTTTGGTGCCCACCTCTCTCTCTCTTTCTCTTTCGTTATTTCTCTCTGTGGCTCCCTCTCTCTCTCACTCTTTTTCTCTCTCTCTCTCTCTCTCTCTCTTTCTCTGTCTCTCTCTCTCTCTCTCTCTGCGTGCTGTTCCATTATTTTTCGCTGCTCATCTTCTGTTGGCACAAGCGTTCTCGAAATCGCTCAGGATTGCGTCTGCCCGGTCAGGCGGGAAGAGTCCGCAGTGGTTTACCGCTTGTCGAGTGCAGGAGTGAAGCAATTAAAAGCATTGGTGGCGCGGCGGATGCACATTTCCCCAAATTGACAGACAGCAAAGTCAAACCTTGATGGCGCCAGCCATGCGACTGGCCAGACGTTCTGACCAGCCGAGCACCCTGCGCCACAAATCTTCCTCACCTGGTAGACGAGGGCGTCCGACAGGATGGAGAGAGACCTGGGGCAAACACTCCACAAGAGCAGACGCCGCCCTCGCTTCGCACAGGAGTGTTGGGCGACACCGTGGAGGGAGCATCCGGTTTTCGCGCAGATGGGGCTCGGCTCTGCGTGGTAAGGCGGACGACTTCGATCAACTCGCGCTTGTGAGTCCGCTGCGCTTGGCCCCTTGTCGCTAACTTGTCGACACTCAACAGGGGGCTGACGTATTCAGTGAGTGGATTTCAACACTGAAGTGCAAAGTTCTTGGGGTGAATCCCGCGGCCGTGAATTCACTGACTGTGTTTGAAACTCCAGACCTGGATTTCTGAAAGCAATTCAGTTCTGGTTGGAAGAATCGACCTGTTGAACGTGTCCTTTCAATACCACGGAATTATAAGCCCAATCTGAAGTTTAAGGTCGGGCTCAGTGTTGATGTTCCAATTTGCCAGCGTTGTCGCGTTGCCTGCACAATTGGCAGCGTATCGGCCCGTGGGAGGTGTATCGGGGGCGGCAAAGAGGGGGGTGATGATTAGGGGGGGGTGGATATCATGGCGGGGGCCATGATATTTCCCCAGATTTCATGGCGCCTCTTCTTATTTCATTTCGTCCCTGACCCCCCCGCTGGGCCGCGCACATGCCGCCGGTCATGATTTGCACCGCCCCCTCTTGGGCACCCCCCTCTTGGCCGCTCCCGAGTGTAGGTTGATGGCCCAGGCCGCGCGTGAGAAAGTAAATGCGCAGCAGCAGGTGTGCCGCACTGGCCGTGGGCCCCCCTCCAAGCAGCCACGCGCCTCATACTTGTACCATCTTCCATGGCCTGCTGGAGCAACGGGACTCCCAGTGTCTTCCCTCCTCCCCCCTTTCGTCATCTACCTCGTGGCATTATTACTCGTACTAGTCGTTCCCATGTCCTCCTCCTGTCCCCACCACCTCGTCTTCCTCCTCCCCCCTTCCTTCCCCCCCGATTGTCTTCACCTGTCAGATTGTTATACGTCTTCTTCATATCCTCGTGGTTATTCTTATTCGACTTCGCCTTCTTCTGCACATTTCCAGATAGCTCTTGCACTCGGGGGCTCTTCCTTCTGCTGCGAGATAACTACCTGGACTCGCGCGCCAGAGCTCCGGCTGGTGCCCCGCCATGTGCGCCTCGAGGGCGCCACGTGCGCTGGGTTGGTGTGCAGGGCTTTGGCTCGTGGGAGATTCGTGTGCGCCCCCTGCGTTGGCTGGGGCTTCTGGTCTTCAATCTGAGCGACGCAAGCAAAATCGGGGGCGGCAAAGAGGGGGGTATGATGACTAGGGGGGGATAGCATGGCGTGGGCCATGATATTTCCCCAGATATCATGGTAACTCTTCTTCTTCCCAGCCCTACTTGGTTGGGTATTCGTTTTGAAGAGAGCACTGTGGTCGCGTCCCTCCTTCTCCTCCCGCCTCCCGCCCCCCTCTTGTCTCCTCTTGCCTTGCGCGAACCTGGCCATCCCTGGGGGCCTGCGATCTGCGACCCTGTCGCCACTTTCGAGGGCTGCTGGTGGGTCCTGCGGAGTGAGGCACCGCGGGGATCTGAGCGGGACCTCGCCGTCCCTGGGGGGCTGCGATTTGCGACGCTGTCGCCACTTTCGAGGGCTGCTGGTGGGTCCTGCGGAGTGAGGCACCGCGGGGATCTGAGCGGGACCTCGCCGTCCCTGGGGGGCTGTGTTTTTGCGACCCTGTCGCCACTTTTGAGGGCTGCTGGTGGGTCCTGCGGAGTGAGGCACCGCGGGGATCTGAGCGGGACCTCGCCGTCCCTGGGGGGCTGCGATTTGCGACATTGTCGCCACTTTCCAGGGCTGCTGGTGGGTCCTGCGGAGTGAGGCACCGCGGGGATCTGAGCGGGACCTCGCCGTCCCTGGGGGGCTGCGATCTGCGACCCTGTCGCCACTTTCGAGGGCTGCTGGTGGGTCCTGCAGAGTGAGGCACCGCGGGGATCTGAGCGAGACCTCGCCGTCCTTGGGGGGCTGCGATCTGCGACCCTGTCGCCACTTTCGAGGGCTGCTGGTGGGTCCTGCGGAGTGAGGCACCGCGGGGATCTGAGCGGGACCTCGCCGTCCCTGGGGGGCTGCGATCTGCGACATTGTCGCCACTTTCGAGGGCTGTTGGTGGGTCCTGCGGAGTGGGGCACCGCGGGGATCTGAGCGGGACCCCTGGGGGGCTGCGATTTGCGACGCTGTCGCCACTTTCGAGGGCTGCTGGTGGGTCCTGCGGAGTGAGGCACCGCGGGGATCTGAGCGAGGCCTCGCCGTCCCTGGGGGGCTGCGATCTGCGACGCTGTCGCCACTTTCGAGGGCTGCTGGTGGGTCCTGCGGAGTGAGGCACCGCGGGGATCTGAGCGGGACCTCGCCGTCCCTGGGGGGCTGTGTTTTTTGTCGCCACTTTTTCGAGGGCTGCTGGTGGGTCCTGCGGAGTGAGGCACCGCGGGGATCTGAGCGAGACCTCGCCGTCCTTGGGGGGCTGCGATCTGCGACCCTGTCGCCACTTTCGAGGGCTGCTGGTGGGTCCTGCGGAGTGTGGTACCGCGGGGATCTGAGCGAGGCCTCGCCGTCCCTGGGGGGCTGCGATCTGCGACACTGTCGCCACTTTCGAGGGCTGTTGGTGGGTTCTGCGGAGTGAGGCGCCGCGGGGATCTGAGCGGGACCTCGCCGTCCTAGGGGGGCTGTGTTTTTGCGACGCTGTCGCCACTTTCGAGGGCTGCTGGTGGGTCCTGCGGAGTGAGGCACCGCGGGGATCTGAGCGGGACCTCGCCGTCCCTGGGGGGCTGCGATTTGCGACATTGTCGCCACTTTCGAGGGCTGCTGGTGGGTCCTGCGGAGTGGGGCACCGCGGGGATCTGAGCGGGACCCCTGGGGGGCTGCGATTTGCGACGCTGTCGCCATTTTCGAGGGCTGCTGGTGGGTCCTGCGGAGTGAGGCACCGCGGGGATCTGAGCGGGACCTCGCCGTCCCTGGGGGGCTGTGTTTTTGCGACGCTGACGCCACTTTTGAGGGCTGCTGGTGGGTCCTGCGGAGTGAGGCACCGCGGGGATCTGAGCGGGACCTCGCCGTCCCTGGGGGGCTGCGATTTGCGACCCTGTCGCCACTTTCCAGGGCTGCTGGTGGGTCCTGCGGAGTGAGGCACCGCGGGGATCTGAGCGGGACCTCGCCGTCCCTGGGGGGCTGCGATCTGCGACCCTGTCGCCACTTTCGAGGGCTGCTGGTGGGTCCTGCGGAGTGAGGCACCGCGGGGATCTGAGCGGGACCTCGCCGTCCCTGGGGGGCTGCGATCTGCGACCTTGTCGCCACTTTCGAGGGCTGCTGGTGGGTCCTGCGGAGTGAGGCACCGCGGGGATCTGAGCGGGACCTCGCCGTCCTTGGGGGGGCTCTTGAGAGCTGCTGTGGGATACGTTAGGCGCAACGGGCGCATGGCACAGCCAACGGGTCAGATTTGTGAACCAGACCATCTGCCAGGCGATGGCCATAACGTTGCGCCTACACGTATCCCGCGGGGGCTCTCAAGAGCTGCTGTGGTATACGTTAGGTGCAACGGGCGCATGGCACAGCCAACGGGGGTGATTTATTATTACGTAGCCCTTAGATCTTGATCGGGGGCTTGCGAGCCTTCCGATTGCTGCTCGCGAAATCACATGCGTCCACGTTACGTCATCGCACCCGTTGTAACAATCCTGATGTACTTATGCCCCGCATTGCGCAAGGGTTGGGTACGTCGCCAGGGTAATTTCATTACGTCCCTGGCCCCCCATGCGGCCGCGCACATGCCGCCGGGCATGATCTGCGCCCCCCCCTCTTGGACGCCCCCCTCTTGGCCGCCCCCGAACAAAGCGGGCTCGATTGTGCCGACAGGTCGCCAGGGCCCGCAAGGGCCCAGCACCTTACGCGCAAGGGCCCGCGCAAGGTCGCGCGCAAGCGCCCTCGTCTCCCAGCGTGCAGCTCCAGCGGCCCGCGTAAGCTGCGGCGTAAGGTCGCTATGGCGTATGCACTATTTCTCGGCGAGGACCATCGAGGGGCACCCTGGCCCATCCTGCGAAAAAGTACACGCACTGAGTCGAAAGACGCACGGGGAATGGACGTCCGAGCCATGGCCAGCTTAAGTCCCGTTTCTGCCCGTCGCTCATCTGGTGCTTCGCCGCTGCCGCCTCGTAGGGGCCCAGCACGTTGGCAGGGATCTCGTGGGCTTCACCCCATGCCCGCCCCGCCCGTGGGCGCCTCGTGAGCGCCTCGTGCGCCTACTTCACCGCGCAGCTTGCACCGCACAGCCTGTGCCGCGCAGGTTACACTGCATAGCTTGCACCACATAGTCTGGACGGCATAGCTTGCACCACATAGCTTGCACCACACAGCCATGGCGTGCACCCCACATAGGTTGCACCAAATGGCTTGCACATCATCGCTTGCACTGCACGGCGTGTGCGACATGATTTTTGAACCACATAAACTATACCACATCGGTTGCACAACACTGCTTGCACATCCATTGTGCAATAATATGTTGTTTAGGGTCCACGCTGACATTCGTTATACTGTCATCATTATCATTCGTTCCATGATCGTCATTATCATCATGATAACACATTTTCTTCCTGTCATTACTCTCACCATTGTGTCCGCAATCCTCCTCCCCGCGCCTCGCCTTTCCTCCTCGTCCTGCTGCTGGCAGTGCTATCAAACACCACCGTGGCGAGACGTGGATTGCCCACCACCGGGCCAACGCGATCAACGACGAGGTGCCGAAGTGTACCGTCTGCAACCAGCCCTACTCGGGCACCGCCACCACCCCTGGTGGAAAGTCGTCGCGTCGGGCGGCCGGCCGATGATCTGCAGGATGCGTCTTGGCCCAATGTGTGCTTACCCCGATCAGCTCCACCGATAGCACGAAGCCCGTGTCGGCCCTCATGACACCGCCCGCAACGTATTGAAGAGCTCCTGTGGACGGACACACGTTGGCACTAACGCTCGTTTCGGGGGTCGTCGAGCTGGGGTTCTCGGGCCGAACGAAAGGGGGGGATAGGGAGGATAGGGAAACGGTGGTTTACGATTCTGCTGCATGCAGCTGGTTTCGCCCCCGCCGCCAGGCCCATTCCTCGATACATGGGCGCCTCCTGGCGCAAGGATAACCAGCTACATGATGATTCTCTGCCCTACCCTTAGCTATCCGACCCCTTTGTCCCCCCGACATTGGCGCTAATGCTCGTTTCGAGGGTCGTCTAGCTGGGCTTCTGGGAGACCGCTCGCCGGTCATTTGCACGTTCGTGTCGGGGAAACGTAATACTCGAAAAATTACACTAGAACTCGGGTTTGCCGACGCTTTTTGACGAGCGCGTCTGGGATTTTCTCGGCCCGGTTTTCTTGGGATGTTTGCAGCGCGAGCCCGTGAGCTCGCGTCAAGTTTCAGATTGGGTCTCGTCACGTTCATGACGATGGCCACGTCATGCCAGCCCGAGGCCCCCGAACCCGAGTCTGGACGCCCCCCCCCCCCAGCGTATCTCCCAGGCTTGGGCCCCAAGCTTCTGGCCCAGTCGAAGACCCCCCCAAGGCTTGGGCTAGGGTCAAATCGGGCCTGTCCCTCTACACGAGGAGTATTCAAAAATAGCAAAAACATAGTCAAGGGACGATTTTGCTATGAATTTCGACCATTTCTGATTATCTTCAGACTTTTTTTGTTTTTTTTCTATCGTCCAAAACCCGCCTGTAGGAGGACACCCCCGACCTAGGGCTGGGGGTCGACAGATCCCCTGTCGAACGCTCGCGTCGAGGGTCGTCGATGCATGGGCTTCTGGGAGGCCGCCCGCCGGCCGGCCGCACGCTCGTCGGCAAGAGGCCGCCTGCCGGTGGTCTCCGGGGCACCGGGGAGCGTTCGCCATGCACTGCCATCGCGTTTCTCTGCAGATCCACCGAGCGCGTTCCACTACTCGCAAAGTGCCTACTCGCAAACGCCCGACAAAAAGACATGCCGGCTTCGACGAAATGTATCGCAGATCCCCCGCGGCGGATCCAGGCCATTTGCAAGTAGCAACGTTGCCAGTAGTGGAACGCTCTCGTCTGCAGATGTTCGGCACCGTCGTGTCGAAGTCGGCCTTCGATCGGCCACGCGTAGGGGGTAGGAGCGGCGTCTTCTGAGAGGCAGCATCCTTCTAAGAAGCCTTGCTCCATCCCGCTGCCCACCTGTGCGCGCCGCCAGGTTAGAACCAGGTCATCCACACGGATTTCTGGGCTGACCTCACGACACCACGACTTATCATGTTGAGAGGTCATTGCTCAAGAGGTAGGGCCACGGCCGAGTGGACAGAGGGCGCCCTTCACAAATTGGTCCCGCCTCGCGATGCCCAGGTAGCCTGTGCTACGGCAGAGGGAAAAGAAGGATGACGAGTCAAAGGATCAGCAGCAGGAGGAGAAAGAGAATGGATGAGGACGGGTAGGAGGAGGATTCGGAGCAGGAGGAGAGGACGAGGATGAGGATGAGGACGACAACGAGGATGGTGCGGCAGGAGGAGGAGGGAGAGGTGGGGAGATATGAGGGAGGAGGGGAGAGACATTAGGGAGATGTCCCTGGATGCCCCCAGAAACCCGACTTGGATCCACGGACCAAACTGGCCCAACAAGTTCATGTGGTGCAAGCTATGTGGTTCAAGCTATGCGGTGTATCTATTTGGTGTGAGCTAGGTGTAAGCTACGCGGTGCAGTGTATGTGGTGCGGGCTTTGTGTGGTGTACGCCATGCGGCGCAGGCTGTGTGGTGCAAGCGGCGTGGTGCAAGCTCTGTGGTGCAAGCTCTGCCCTGGAAGCTACGCGGTGCAAGTTTTTGGCCGCCCAGCGCACGAGGCGCCCACGGGCGGCCACGGGTGCGCCGGCAGGCGAAACGTCGCCACACCCACCGAGCGCACGAGGTTGTTGCCAGGGCGCCCACGCGCGGGTACACCAAGCAGAACGTCGACACGCTCACGCAGAGCACCAGGCGCCCACGAGGCGACCACGAGGCGGGCACCAGGCAAGCGTGATAAAAACAAACAAGCAAGTGTGACAAGACAAACAAGTGTGATAAACAAACTCCGAGCACATTGTTTTATCACCTTTTTTTCCCAACCATCCTGTGGTGTTGGGTCCTCGTTTTGAAGAGACGGTGCCCCGCGTTCCCGCCGCTCCCGCTCCTCCTCCCCCTCCTCCTCCCTCCTCCCCCTCTTCCTTGCGTTTCACCCACCCAGTACAGCGTTTCGTGGCCCCATAGGGAGCTCCACCGAAGGCCCCCAGTGGCTGCGTTCGCATGGCGGCCTCGGGCCATTTCGGCACACCCCTCACGAGGATCCCCTCCACCGAAGGCGGCTGCGTTCGCATGGCGGCCTCGGGCCATTTCGGCACACCCCTCACGAGGATCGTGGCCCCATAGGGAGCTCCACCGAAGGCCCCAGTGGCTGCGTTCGCATGGCGGCCTCGGGCCATTTCGGCACACCCCTCACGAGGATCGTGGCCCCATAGGGAGCTCCACCGAAGGCCCCAGTGGCAGCGTTCGCATGGCGGCCTCGGGCCATTTCGGCACACCCCTCACGAGGATCGTGGCCCCATAGGGAGCTCCACCGAAGGCGCCCAGTGGCAGGGTTCGCATGGCGGCCTCGGGCCATTTCGGCACACCCCTCACGAGGATCGTGGCCCCATAGGGAGCTCCACCGAAGGCCCCAGTGGCAGGGTTCGCATGGCGGCCTCGGGCCATTTCGGCACACCCCTCACGAGGATCGTGGCCCCATAGGGAGCTCCACCGAAGGCCCCAGTGGCAGGGTTCGCATGGCGGCCTCGGGCTATTTCGGCACACCCCTCACGAGGACCGTGGCCCCATAGGGAGCTCCACCGAAGGCGCCAGTGGCAGGGTTCGCATGGCGGCCCCGGGCCATTGCGGCACATCCCTCACGAGGATCGTGGCCCCATAGTTGTGCTGCTTCAACAACCGCGCCTGGGCGTCGTACTCCGCCTTGTCGACGTGCAACGCCACCTCCTCCCTCATGGCTCTCAAGGCCTTCTCCTGCTTCTGCTCCTCGGTGAGAGGGACGCCGTCCTTGTCGTCGTCGGCGCCCGCGAAGACGGCCACGAACGTGTCCCTGAGCATGTCGGGCTCTGGCGGAAAGCCGTGGCCACAGGGAGCGCGGGCCAAGATGGCATTCACAATTGCAGCATTTTCACAACAGCATATGGTTGGGTCCTTCGCCAGGCTAATTATCTCGCCACCCCCACCCAGCGCACACGCTACGAGGTAATCCGCATAGCGGGGTGCCCGAACAGCGTGGGACTGGAGCCGGCGGTAAACCGTCAACCAGGTTAGCGCCGGTACCTTCGTAGAGCTCTTGACACGCGAAATGGGAATTCAAGGAGAAAGCTCCCTTGAAATTCAGCTTCAAAGCTCGATGGATGTTTTTTTTTCGGTTTTATACCAAGGGCGCCCAAGGGCCCCCACGAGTGGCCGCGAGGCGTGCGCCAGGCGAAGCCTCGCCGCGCCCATCCAGCGCACGTCTGCGTTCTACCGAGGCGGCCACGGTCGGGCATCGGTCGAGACCTGGCCACACTTCTCTGCCAGTGTTGCTTGAACTGTGCGAGGGGGGAGAGAGAGAGAGAGAGAGAGAGAGTACATTAGTGCGAGAGAGAGAGAGATAGAGAGAGAGAGAGAAAAAAAAAAAAAAGTGATAAAGAGAGAGAGAGAGAGACAAACAAATAGAGAGAGAGGGAGGGAGACACGCGCACACACGCACACACACACACACGCACACACACGCAAACACACACACACGCACACGCACACGCACACACACACACACACACACGCACACGCTCACACGCACACACACGCACACACACGCACACACACGCACGCACACACGCACACACGCACACACGCACAC